CGAAGATATGAAGACCAAGTTGGTGTGGCCTCGCTTTCGCAACGAATCTCCTTCATGGTCTGGATAATACTAAATTTCCAGTCCCATCACAACTACAGGTTGAAGCTAGGAATAATGAGAAGCATGCTCATCAAAGACATACGATTAATGGCTGTGGAATTCTAGGATGAAAAATTGGACAAATTGACTCTTATCCCTCAGCAACGGTTACCCAAGCGAAGTAATATAAAATAAGCATACGGGCTATGAAAGGTCGATGGCAACAGGAATATGAAAGGATCAAAAGAACGGAAGTTTCCTGCGAACGAACTGAAAAACTACGGCAAATACTAGGGAAATGAAATATTCTGGTAACTACGAAGAAAAAAACAACACTCTTCGCAAATCTACGCACGAAATATGAGGAGGGTACGAAACAAATAGGATTGTTCGGGAGTTAACTGCATAGCATGCGGAGCCTGCGAACAGAAATATATTGATGAAACGGAGATGTGGCGTAGTGGTTAACATGTCGAGATTATACAGTACATGATCATGGTTCGAGTCCCACCGGGGGTGTTGATAAGACCAAGATGAGGTCGAAACTGCAGTCTACTACTGCCTGAATGAGAATACCTTTTGTGAAAGCAATGCTATGTGAAATTCAACGGAATCGTAACGTCTAGTCATATGATTGTGGGCCAATTAAACGACCGGTCCCCTTATCATCTGAAACTAAATGGAGTGAACACACCTCATATGTACCTTTTAGACTCGTGCGTATTATAATAAGATAAAACGGTTATCAGGCAGGCAGAAATGAAAGTTGCTATTAGTCCTTCAACGCAGCACTTCATACACTCGCACAATGCGTTGCTTATACCCAAATAAGTCAAGTAAATCAATAAAATCTCATGTTCAGAACCAGTTCCCGAGTGCAGTTTTATCATATCATGAGACAGATAAACAGCCCCACTTCTAGTTGAAACAAAATGATATTACTTGATTAGCTAATAATGGAACTCGCAATGGAAACATTCGCTTAAGTTAATATGATCCCGTTTTTGCAAATTGGTCGGGTCGAGAGAAAGACCCTGTGGAACATACCCATTCCTGAGTCATTTGCAATAGTATTAATGAGAAACTCAGGCTTCTGACTGTTAGCTTGGTGCATTTACAGGCGTTTCGCCTGACTCGTCAGTAAGTGGCGCCATTTTTAGGACAGAGTTACTACTCATCAAAGTAGCAAGTGAAGGCGATCCTGTGGGCTAATTTTATTTGCAGCGATTGTGCTCCAGGCTACTGGCGCCAGATCCTTTTCCTCAATTCAACTGTATATGGCCAAGTATCCTAGCTATACATCTTATTATCTTTATTTGTTCCTATCTTTTATCAGCCTGTGACCTATTAAGTAGATTTGGCGATGTTTAATCATTTTGATCACCACTTTAGAATCCTTTCTGTAAAGCTTCTTTATCCCAAATGGATCTTAATTAGGTAATTTACTTTCCCAAACTATCAGCTATTCCCTCGTGTCCTATGTAGATTTATAGCAATGCTCCTTCCACACGTCCACCATATATATAGGATTTGCACAAATGATCGGTCGGGATGTGTCCACATGTGCACTAGCCCCATACCATACGTTGAGGATTGGTCATGTAAATAAATCCTATAGAATGGAGTATATGGTAGGCAGGATTGAGCTGTTATAGCTAGTCACGAAAAAAGTTTCGAGTAGTGATTTATTCAATGATAACTCTATTGGAATCAGGAGGCTCTGCAGATGGGATGTGAAACCGAAGGTCATCACGTCTAACTGAATTCATTCAAAGGGTCACACACTTGGGAAGATTGGAATAAATTAAAATAGAGTTAGGCGTAGATAGGAAATTTGGCTATATGAAGTGGGATTGGGGAAAGGGGATGAGCACTATGAAACTGGGAAAAGGGTAAGGAGGAAGAGATGCCATCCTCCTTTACAGAAAATTGATTTAGAGGACTACCTTTACGTTGGCGATGTAACTGTGCAAGGGATGGCGCAATGACGATGTCGATGAAACGTCTGGAAATATACCAAGTCATAGGTGCGATGCCATAAATTATAATAACTATTATGGCGCAGGACACAGAATTGGAAATGTTTCACAGGATCAACCTGTCGTTATTACTACGTTAAGAAAACGAAGGCATTCAAACTCGATACAGCTAAAAGGGACTGCGGACTGAAGAGTGTAGGCCGAACTCATATATGGGGTACCTCTAAATGCCAATAAGAGGAATGTGAAAGGTTGGAGAGAAATTTGATTCGAGAAGGATAGCCATATTTAATAATAGGCCCAAGATAAGATTAAAACAATCCTTTTCAAGCTATATTAAGTGCTAATATAGCAAATGTGAATCTACAGAAGAATTACCTAAATTGAACTGACAGAATAGACCTGTTACGAGATATATAGTTGTAATGAGATGATTATAATGAACACTATAGAAATGTGGTTCTCCAGTTCACTAGTAATATAGCTAGTTCACAGTCCCAAGACATAAGAATGCGACCATGCAGCCAAGCTTTATTTAGTGATGCGAGATCAAGATCAAATGAGGGCAGTGTTTGATAACGTCAATGATTGCTATGAAGAGTAGAAAAGGAAATAAAATAAAAAACCTGATTATTCTGTGCTCACCTGTTGAAATTTTCGAAGTTAATTCCAAGATTAAGTCTAAACGCATACACAAATGTCGAAGGCGCAACCATAAAGTACAGACTTGGGGGGGGGGAAACATTCTAGATTATCTGAATTAACAATACAAATAATTCACAAAATTGAGAGAAACGAATGCAAATCAGGTTCAAAATATATGGTAATTATAGATTTATTTAGTAGTCACCAGAATGATGCGTGGGGGCTTAGAGAAATAAGAGTAAGAAGGAAAAAAGTGAGCAAAAAGCATAGGCCTGGGCACCATGATGAGTAGCATTAATATTAAAGACTCATTAAAAACGTATTTTGTATGCACTTAGGCTCAGACAAGCGCTGAACCTACCGAGGTTGTTTACTCATTCCGAACTTGGGTGAAGCTGTCACCAAATCACCGCGCAAGGATCCCGATGACACGAGGAAGGTGCCACCACGGATCGGCCACTCACGAAGTGACCAAACACTTTCATTCGCTGCAAAAGAGGACTCAAAAAGCCCAGAGTCAAGGGGTACAGTGGGTCCTAGAGACAGGCCTCCAGCTCGACTTGAATGGTAGTCGGGTCCGAAAGCAGCACTAGTTTGTTCCAAAAGGTGAAGGAGGTCTGAATTCACCTATATAGAAAGGTATGATGATATTCGGCTCAGATGAATTCAAGGATACACGGATTTAAATAAGCATTTAAAGGTTATATTAGGATTAGGTAATGATAAATTTCACTGGCAGGGTCTTTCGAGATAGCAAGTGCATTCACACAAATAATTTTGAAGCACAAAACAAAATTTTAAATTTCAAGTCTTTACTTAGCATAAGGTGAATTCGTACGATAAATTTAAGGAACATGTATGAATCCAAACATTGTTAACGTTTAATCGAAGGTATGAAGACCAAGATGCTGTGGCCATTTGTGTGGTGGCAGTTTCCTTTCGTTGTATAGAAGTTGTTTGACCTTGTTTACGCAACTCAGTCATATTGGTAGGAAGAATTCGAGGAACGCACCTTGTCCGGAGTCCATTGTATGCATCATCATTTCCAGAGTAGGACCGCAGA